GCAAGAGGACTCCTTTTTCCCCCATAGCTTATCTGTCTAATATCAATCTGTCAGGAGATAGTGACAGAGTGAACAAATATGTTAAAAATATATTTTTAGAAAAGTTACATACTGCACCTTTAATCTTTGAATTGTGAGAGAAACCTCATACAAACACAAGGTAAAGCATGCACACTCCTCCATATGCCTCCAAAGGAAAGATTTGATTCAAACCAGACCACTTTTKCAGTGAGGAGACCATACCACTGTTTCTTTATCAACCCAAGACTCTTGCCACATTGTGAAAAGGACATTAAAAAGACTTAACTTTCTGCCATGTGGCAATCAGCAATCATTTTCCACAAAGCTGTGGGAGAAACCAGTGATGGATGACAAAGCAGGGGGGATTTAGGGAAACAAGGGGACAAAAAAGAAAATCAGAATTCACCCATTTAAAATTTTTCTCTGAGGGCAGGAGTAAGCCATTAAAAGCTCAGTATGCTTCTCATTTTGTGTGTTCAATTGTGCACATTCATTCTGCTTTCATGAGCGTGCACGAGTATTTTGACCAATATATAAACAGATTATTTGTAAGGATCAGGCCTGCAGCCAAGAGCTTGCAGCAAACAAAATACCAAACAAATCTCCTGAGTTAAAGTAATGAAGGGATTCCGTGATCAATAAATAGAAGTCTGAATAATATAGCAAAAAAACAGTTGGATCTCTTCTAAAAAAGGCTTTATTCTCATCTCTCACTCCAATCAGCCCCAGCATCACACAGCACTCTGCAGGGCTCAGAGTAAAATGACCTTCGTCTTATCTGAAACCAAAACAAAACAGCCCAGTCTGTCCCAGCTAAGTCTAAGGAGAGGCTGCACACAAGCAAACATCTTCTAAACTTCTATAATAAGGATTCAACCATTTAATCTCTTCAGGCTCTTCCTGGTTACACCCCTGGAGGTGCTACCTTTTATGTCAGGCATCAGAATGTAACCATCTTTTGTTTATGCCACAGCCAGAACACATCGATAAGACACACCAACTCTCATTCTCTGTTTTAAACCTTATGGCTGCAATGATCGGAAAGTGTAAAAATACAATGCTGAATCAAACATTTAGTCAATCACTTTCCTTCAATAAGAATCAGCCTCTAATTAGATACCCAGAGTGCAGACTGAGGCACCAGGGACCAAACAATGGAATGAAGGTAAGTGTTTATTTGTGAAGTGAGTATGATTTCTTAAAATATATTTGCAGTCCAAAGATATAGTAGTATCTTACTTCACTAGCTCTTTCTTCTAGAAAGTTTGGAGGGAGGCAATCAGGGATTTCCAGAGAGAAGTACAGACCAAGGAGACCTGGAGAGACGAGAAAGGCAGGATGGACCTCAGGGCTGGTTGGGAAGATGTTCTGTACTTGTTTTCTGTGGAGGATGTAGGTGCAGTTCTTCAAGGAGAGTCCATAGAGTCATGGGGGAGAATGTCTAAGAGCTGTCTGCAGTTTTCCAGGAAATGAGGGCTATGAAGTACACAAGAGGAATACAGATTAAGAACAGTGATTCCCAACCCAAGCCCCCTTTTCTCACTGCCAAGCTCAATCTACAGTATATGTTATGAATCTAGACACTTGTTTATTTTGCAGCAAATTTACTTTAAATAAAATCAGAATTTTTTAGGACCACTACTCCTGATATTTTTTATTTATTTATGTTTTTCTTTGTTTCTATTTGGTGCTTGCCTTGGAATGGCAAATCAATTACTCTAAACCTAGTCTTTCTTTATTTCTTTAGTCTTCATCCACCACTTTTAATGCGGCCCGAACCATAGGTTGTACCTCCATGAAATTTACATCAAAACGATCAGCAGAGTCTCAAGATGTGTGCTATTACTTTTCTTTACACTCACTTTTACAGTGGCGACATAATTTGAAAAAAAAAAAAAACAGTCAAAATCGCCACGAAACATCAACGTTCAATAACTTCCATTTACAAGGGCACAGCCGCATGATCATTTCTGTGTGTCATACCATTCAGGCACTCATCACACTCACGTGGTCATTTGGTGACATCACCTTAGCGCCGCCCCCTCAAAACAGGAAGTGACTTATTTACCTGCTGGATGTTTATCTTTTACACTGTGACTCCTACAGATTTCTGCCTGTGTCTGGTGACACAACAACTTGATGCTGCATGCTTATCCCAGCACTGGCTGCTGGCTGAATTTTGTGGGCGTGACCAAGTGGCAAATGATGAKGCCTCGCCGTTTGCATTCGTTTGGCTCTAAATCACACATGCATGATCCGATTTGCTCCAAACTTGAGATCTACGATGTTTCATAAACTCTGAAGACGCCTTCAGGATTACATTGGAGTTTGACTCAACAGCGCCACCTAGAATAGATAAACAATTATAGCTCACTGATACCTCATCCAATCTGCACCAAATTTGGTGTGTGTCATCAGTGACCTCTGTGACATGTCAGCCATTTTGAATTTCAGGTTTTTGTGGTTTTCTGCCTTCCTACACAACTTTCACATGGTTTTTGGTGGTTACAACTGGTTTTCCGCCCTTCTACGACCCTTTCTCATGGGTTTTGATGGTTTTAAGGGTTTTTTGGCCCTCGTAGACACCTTTTGCATGTTTTTATGGTTTATGGTGGTTTTGACTGGCTTTCCGTCCTCAATAAAACTGTAAAACATACCAAGTTAGGCAAGAGATACAATACACCAGCATTTGTCAAATGACGTCACACGAAAAGTGACAGGTGCCCCGCCCCTTTAGGGCGGGACTTCCGTATATGGTCAACTTCCGGCCCCTCCTTCGGGGGACTTCCATATATGGTCCTTCCGGCCCCTCCTTCCTCAGGGGACTTCCATATATATGGTCAACTTCCGTTTCGTGACTTCCTCTTTTGATTTACCGTAATCTTACCCCACCCTCAGTCCACCCTTGACTTACTGTAACCCTACCCCTCCCTCTTTCCCCCTTAATTTACCGTAATCGTCCCCTCCCTCTTTCCCCCTTGATTTACTGTAAGCCTTGACYGTAAACATCCTGTTTTTGAACAGATGTCCACAGCCCGTCTGTCTGTTCACCCTCCCCTCTTGACCACAAACATCCTGTTTTGAACAGARGTTAATCTATTGCAACCCTCCTTCTAGGGCCCACCTGTCTGTCACCCTCCCCTCCCTGATAACTGTCAGAAGTGTTAAAAGTTTCCATTAATGTGAACCATCATCCAATCAGCGGTTAGGGTTAGGATTTAGACCCCACCCCTCAGCCAATCAGATCCCTCCTCTCTCTCTCTCTCTCTCTCTCTCTCTCTCTCTCTCTCTCTCTCTCTCTCTCTCTCTCTCTCTCTCTCTC